TTTGAGCCTCTCTGTGATGGTACCACGAGGCGTCGCTCACTAGCGGATCTCAGACTTCTGGAGGGGATGTAGATTCGTAGTAGTAAGTGGAAGTAGGCGGGTGCTGAGCCTGTGGCTGTTCTATATTATACTATCATCTAAAAAACATTGCAAGAATTAGATGTTTTGTTTCCAGTCAAGACTTGGAGAAACTTGTTCATGCCTTTATCACTAGCAGGGAGGACTATTGTAATGGTCTCCTCACCGGCCTTCCCAAGAAGACCATTAGACAGCTGCAGCTCATCCAGAACGCTGCTGCCAGAATTCTGACTAGAACCAGAAAATCTGAGCAATGTGCTATATAAATAAACTTGCCTGGCCTTGCCTTACACCGGCACCGTCTACAACTACAACACCACCACCAACCACAATCACAACACCACCTACACCAATACCAACTACAACTACAACACCGCCTACACCAGCACAGACTACAGCTATAACACCACCTACAACGGCACAGACTACTACTACTACAACAACACCACCTAAACTAGCATCGACTACAACACCAAATACACCAGCAACGACTACAACTACAACAACACCTACACCACCACCACCAACTACAACTACTACACCACCTACATCGACTACTACTACTACTACAACACCTACACCAGCACCAACTTCAACTACAACACCACCTACTCCAGCACCAACTACAACTACCACATCACCTACACCACTGACTGCCAGGACTACAACTACAGTCAGTCCAGCAACATGTGAGGCAAAATCCTGAATATTTAAATGTAATATTGCAGTAGTAACTAACTCTAAACTTGTACGTGATTAAACATGCAGTTTAATTCCACTAGAGAAAAACATCCATGCACAGAAATATTTCCTTGTTCTTGTTGTGTATAAACCATGTCTTGCTCAGACAGAGCTCTGTGGCTCTTTATCAACGTTTAACTCTCTAATGTCAGTTACTACAGAGAATAGTGACCTCAGTGATGTGACCGACATCCTAGAAACTACACAGCCTGGAGAGACCAATGTGACAAATACAATAACGACGACAACTCAGGCTCCCGTGTGTGAGTGTTTTGTGTGTGTGTGTGTGTGTGTGTGATTAATTGACTGTGCCAATTGCATATATTATTTTGTATGAAATTACATGAACTGATGTGTTTGATGTTTCTGTCATAGATGGTAATTGTGTGAATCCAGATCTGTGCTGCTCTGGAAGGAATGACTCCTGTCACCGTTTGAATTGTTTTTGTGATGTTGCTTGTCTGAGATTAAAAGACTGCTGCCCTGATTTCAAACCCACCTGCCTCACAGGTATTCAGAAATATCCATACTGAATGTGGAAAATGGATTAATCTGTGCTGAAATCAATCCCTTACTGTAATTTACATTCTAATGTATGAAAACTTATAATAATAATATATATTATTAAAATATAATAATATACTTTATCTGCACCTCTGTCCCATTTTTTAGTCAATAA